TAAGGGGGAATTCTGCGGGGACCCGGATGTAAGGGGGAATTCTGCGGTGACACGGATGTAAGGGGGAATTCTGTGGGGACACTAGTGTAAAGAAGACTCTGATGGGGAATCTGGTGTAAGGGGGGTGGGGGAACTCTAACTAAAACTGTTTTGATCATATCATGCTAATTACAAAAAAAGAAGTAAAAGTAATACTTAAATATTTATATTTTATTTATTCATTTATACAACTTTTTTTCCTTGACCCATAAATATTTGTAAATACGGTATACAATGTGCTGTCTGTACTGAAAAGTCTGGAGACCCCCGCCCTGGCAACTCAGGAAGGAATTCCCCCTCCCCCCTATAGGAGTGAACTGGACTAAGTTCTACAAAGGGTTTGGATTCCTCTGGATCACCTGTCAGTTTTGGGTTCTGGTTCTTCAGGTTTTCTATTTATTTACTCATTTTTCTATTAGGTGGACACAATGGACTTTTTTTCAACCTGATAAGCCTCCATTGTAAACTTAGAAAAAAGTGCTTGTGTTACCCCTAACAGGAAATCGGCCAATCCCTTTCATTCCTCCTGGTTACAAAACGAGAATTTGGTTTCTACAGACAGCAAAAACTTTTAATCACTTCTACAGAAACTAAACAAAAAAATAAACACACAACGTAACAATGACACTGAATATCGGGAAATAAACCATTTTTGGTCTCAATGCATAGTACAATGTGGTCAGCCGAGACTGGAAACAAAAATACCAACAAAGTGTATTTCCAATTCTCCAGCCAAATTGGGATAACACCTAACTTGTCACATGACCTCATTCACACAGCATCACCTAAAGCACAACTAAAAGGTAAAACTATTTTTTCATGCTGGATAAAGTAAGGAAGGGTTATATCCCGTCAGATTTATTTTTGCCAGAGAGGAGATTTCCCTTCACTTCCTGTCCCATAGTCATAATAGAAAGTGAGAGGAAATCCCTGCACATTAGGAGAATACCGTGGGGCCCCCCAGAACTAGTGTCCCCAATGGAAAATGTCCTCACTATTACTTTTCTGGGAACAAATTTGGGATTTTCTGATGCTTTCACCTTCAATAACAGGACACAGAGAGAGGATGAATCTCCATAATGGGGACAGAGGTAGCAAAAAAAAAGGCTAATAGGGGTTTATACTTTCTTCTCTATATATATATATTATCTCCCAGAAGTGAGTCCACCCCATTTTTGTAAATATTTTGTAACTATTTTATTCTTTTCATGTGACAACACTGAAGAAATGACACTTTGCTACAATGTGACGTAGTCAGTGTACAGCTTGTGTAACATGTAAATTTTCTGTCCCCTCAAAATAACTCAACACACCGCCATTAATAGTATCAAAGAAATAGTGCAGCGCTTAAATTAATAGTCCTCAGTAATTCCCGATCAGTGGATGTTCCTCAATTTAGAATGGAAGAAATGCCCACTCAGCAGATAGCAACATAAACACTAATCGTCCCTAGAAGGAAATGGCCGCCGGAGCTCCCCGATGCTCCGACGGCATGACGTCAACGGCGCGAGCAGGCTCCTCCTTACGCGTTACGTGCCACGCACATCGTCAGAGGGTGAGCCGAAACGCTATCTGCCGTTCCTATTGATATCCATTGGATGCATCCTTTATTCTCTCAATAAAATTCGCTTTATTCAAACTTTATTACACTATGGGCACCTTTTTGCTTTAACCCCGCATGGGGAGTACTTTTTTTCAGAAACTGTGTTACTCCGAATCCATCCAGAGAGGGAGGTTCCTACTACTGTTAAAGCAACACCCACACATCCCTTAAGGGGAACTCTGTGTCGGAGCCTAAATTGTTGTGATCCTGGACCTGCTTGATCCAGAGAGGGATACTCTGCCAAGGGCTGAACCAGATGTACACTTCCAGTGACACCAGGGAATAATATTCATACACTGTACTGTACCAAGTGTAGTTCCGGTGAGTGGGCATTTCTTCCATTCTAAATTGAGGAACATCCACTGATCGGGAATTACTGAGGACTATTAATTTAAGCGCTGCACTATTTCTTTGATACTATATATTGAGGTTTTGTTGGTTGCCTTGAGTGTACAGCTGCTGAACTGATTAGCGCTCACTTTTTCACTTTGTTTACCAATTTTGTATATAACAAAGCCATTAATGCCTGAACCGCTGGCAACAAAAGTGAGTCCACCCCTAAGTGACAAGGTCCAAATTGGGCCCAATTATCCATTTTCCCTACCCGGTGTCATGTGACTCCTTAGTGTTACAAGGTCTCCGGTGTGAATGGGGAGCGGGTGTTTATTTTGAGAGGACAGCAAATTTACATGTTATAAAAGCTGTACACTGACTATGTCACATTGTAGAAAAGTGTCATTTCTTCAGTGTTGTCACATGAAAAGATATATATATATATATATATAAAATTACCTTTTTTCAGATCCTCTACTCTGGTCCCTCCAGCAAGGAAAATCCTAGGTAGTTTGCTTTGTATATGAGGGGGCTGGACAGTTGTGTTTGCCATATTTGCCCCCCTGCCTGTACTGTGCGGGAGGATCTCCATTATCAATTGTAACTAGATTTGAACACTGTCGGGTTAAAGGTTTAGGTCAGGGGTAGGCAACCTGCGGCTCTCTAGCTGTTGTGGAAGTACATTTCCCATGAGGCATTGCAAAGATTACAAAACTGACAGTTACAGCTATGACTTGCAGAGGCATGATGGAACTTGTAGTCCTGCGGCTCTCAGGTTGCCTACCCCTGGTTTAGGGGCTGGGATTCTTGCACTGTATGTGAAGGAGGACAGACTTTGGACAGGCTCACTCTAACATTGTTCAAAAATCCTTGCCACCAGCCATGACACCGCCTCCTTCTGAGAAACATCTAAAAAGGTAAAAAGAAAATTTGTATTAAAAAAAATTCTTAAGTATGCTGTGCGAATGAGAACACATCACAAATCTTTGCTGCTGTGATCCGATCTCCTGCTACTGTGGCCACATTCGTTCTCCACGGTCACACTGTACGTAGGAACATATCCACCATCTCTTGCTCCCAAGATGGACTGTGAACTATGGGATTTGTAGTGTGCATAGAGCAGTACACGTGACTGCAACTAACGTGCACTGCTCATTCCAAGCAAATTAAAGTGAGGGGGACAAGGAGTAGTTTTGGAAATCATGGAGAACATTACAAAGAGAAAAGCACAGTAAAGTGATTTCATGAAAAATAAAATTGCAGGACAAGTAGTGGATGTGTATGGATTATTTATGGAATAAAAGAAAATTGTTTAGTGGTTGTAAAGGCTCAAGGACTTTTACCTTCACGTATTCTATGCATGAAGGTAAAAAAACCTTCTCTGTGCAGCTCCCCCAACCCCTCTTAATACCCACCTAAGCCCCCTCTCAATCCAGCGATGTGCACTGGAGTCTTGGCTATCCTGGGACTCCCTCTCCTCGGTGGCTGAGACAGAAGCGGGAGCCATTGGCTTCCACTGCTGTCCATCACAGCCAGTTAGCCAATGAAAAGAGAGAGAGGGAGGGGGTGGGGCCGAGACGCGGCTCTATGTGTTAATGGGTGAATGGACACAGATGTGCACTGGAGTCTCAGCTATCCTGGGACTCCCTCTCCTTAGTGGCTGAGACAGAAGCGGGAGCCATTGGCTCCTGCTGCTGTCCATCACAGCCAGTAAGCCAATGAAAAGAGAGGGAAGGGGTGGGGCCGAGCCGCGGCTCTATGTGTTAATGGGTGAATGGACACAGATGTGTACTGGAGTCTCAGCCAATGAGGAGAGGGAGTCCCAGATAGCTGAGACTCCAGTGCACATCTGTGTCCATTCACCCATTAACACATAGAGCCGTGGCTCGGCCCCACCCACTCCCTGTCTCTCTCTTTTCATTGGCTAACTGGCTGTGATTGACAGCAGCGGTAATCAATGGCTCCCGCTTCTGTCTCAGCCAATGAGGAGAGGGAGTCCCAGATAGCTGAGACAGAAGCGGGAGACATTGATTACCGCTGCTGTCAATCACAGCCAGTTAGCCTATGAAAAGAGAGAGAGGGAGGGGGGTGGGGCCGAGCTGCGGCTCTATGTGTGAATGGACACAGAGAAGCGGGTGCCCACCATAGCAAGCTGCTTGCTGTGGGGGCACTTGATAGGAGGGAGGGGCCAGGAATGCCAGCAGGGGACCCGATAAGAGGAGGATCCGGGTTGCTGTATGCAAAACCAGGTAAGTATTGACATGTTTGTGATGCTATCGCTGGGGAGCAGCTGCAAAAACTGATTAATAGCACAGCGACTCCTATGCAAACCCTATCCGCAAGTGGCTGCATCTAGTGGCAGGCCATATCACCCATCCCCCCCCCACCCGTGGAAAGACCCATCTGCCATGAAACTGGTGCCAAAAAGGTTGAGGACCACTGGTATAGAGTTTCCTTCGAGGAATTGTTTGTTTTCCTCACCAAAAGTGGAGTTTCCTTTTAAATGCAAGATACAGATAACCTACGTAATGTGCCGGTCAAAAGAATGCGAGACAGTTGTGCTTCATTATCAATCGACTTCTTTTAGATTTTGTAACTTGAAAACCGGAAAGAAAAAAATATATAAGGCAGAACAGAGCAATGAGCTCTGGCAGGAAGATTACCCAACTGAGGTCACCAAGAAAGCGGACACCGGCAGTGGACTCGGCCTATTAAGGAAGCCATACCTGGAGAAGATGCCCACACGAGGCAGCCATCTTTAGTGACCAGCACAAGGGAAGGCTCTTAAGAACAGACCACCACCATGAACTCTTCTTTATCCTTCATAAAGAGATGAATAATCAAACATTAGACGCGAGACAGGAAAGTCAATGTTGAGCACCATCTGGTCAAAGCCTCAAGTCAAAACAAGTGCAAACGACCATTTCTGCTGGTCAAGACAGGAAGAACTCCGACTCCAGAGAAAAATGAAATAAAAAACCCATTTCTAATCCAGAGTCTAGCCCTCCCTCTGCCTCCCAACAGATCATATGACCTCAGTCTTTATAATAGATATATCTACGGCCTCGTTCCGCAGGTCTACAGCTGAACCGTTCTGCCAGGACTGCTCGGCCGCTGCAGCGATCTGCAATGCACAGAGGTATTGTTCTTTGGTGATTGCTGGACATTCTTTGCCTGAAAAACAGACAAGACATTCTTATAAGTGCATCTGCATCACAAATGAGGGTGAAAACGGTATAAATGGAAAAGTGGGATTAACCGCTCCCGATTGCCCTATAGCAGAACTACTGCTACAGGGCAGCAGGGCTGTGCAAAATCATGTATGTATAAATGTATATATATATATATATATATATATTATATTATATATATATATATATATATATATATATATATATATGTGTGATTTTGCATTTATGAATAGGGGGGCGCGCGCACCGCCATTGGTGGCTACAGGTGTCGATCACCTGGTCCCAGCCAGAGATTCTCCGCCAGCACCCGGTGATTGCCGAGGCACACTGACAGGGGAGAGGTCTGTATAAACAATACAGATCTCTCCCCTGTCAGCACCAGCATGCTGCTTTGTACTGTTCTGCACAGCACAGCAAAACAAAGCAGCGCATTTACACATTAAAACACTAGGGGGGCAAAAGTGACACAGAGGCAGCCAGTGACTGGGGAGCAGTGGAGGCAGAGCCACAATTGGCGGCTACAGCTGTCAATCACTTGGTCCCAGCAGGTGATTCCCCAACAGCACCTGGCGATCGCTGAGGAACACTGACAGGGGAGAGGTCCGTATGTAAACAAATACAGATCACTCCCCTGTCAGCACCAGCATACTGCTTTGTATGGATCTGCATAGCAGACAAATACAAAGCAGCATGTTCACACAGTACAACACACACAGCACAGTTACAGTTAAAAGAGCAAACAGTTAACCCTTTGACCGCCCCAGATGGTAACCCCTTCCTGCCCAGTGCCATTTGTACAGTGTCAGTGCTTTTTATTATCAATGATCGCTGTATTAGTGGCAGTTAGTCAGTTCCCCCCAGTGTCAGAATGCCCACCACAGCCCCGCTATAAGTCACTGATCGCCGCCACTACTAATATATACAGTTGTGTTCAAAATAATAGCAGTGTGTTGAAAAAAGTGAATAAAGCTGAAAACCCTTCTAATAGCTTTTATTTCCATCCACACAAATGCATTGGGAACACGACACATTCTATTCCAAATCACAACATGAAGAAAAATACATCAAATTTGTGTTGTTCCTCTAAAAAAAATTGAAGAAAAGTGAATATTAGACGGTTAAAAAAAAAAAAAAAAAAAAAAAAAAAAAATCGCAGTGTTTGTATTCTTCTTTACAAACTCAAACATTCACTATATAAACTGAGAAATGTTTGAAGATTTTGCTTTCCTTTGAATGACTTCATGAATATTTGGTTGTAGTCGCACTGTTTCTGAGAACTGCTGTACATCTGTGTTGCATGGAGTCACCCAACTTCTGGCCCCTGTGATCAGGTATTCCAGCCCAGGATGATTGGACCACATTCCACAGTTCTTCTCCATTTCTTGGTTTGGCCTGAGAAACGGCATTTTTGATGTCACCCCACAAGTTTTCTATTGGATGAAGATCCAGGGATTGGGCTGGCCACTCCATAACGTCCATCTTGTTGGTCTGGAACCAAGATGTTGCACGTTTACTGGTGTGTTTGGGGTCGTTGTCTTGTTGGAACACCCATTTCAAGGGCATTTCCTCTTCAGCATAAGGCAGCATGACCTCTTCAAGTATTCTGATGGATTCAAACTGATCCATGATCCCTGGTATGCGATAAATAGGCCCAACACCGTAGTATGAGAAACATCCCCATATCATGATGCTTGCACCACCATGCTTCACGGTCTTCACAGTGTACTGTGGCTTGAATTCAGTGTTTGGGGGTCATCTGACAAACCGTCTCCGGCCACTAGACCCAAAAAGAACAATCTTACTTTCATCAGTCCACAAAATGTTGCGCCATTTCTCTTTAGGCCGGTCAATGTGCTCTTTGGCAGATTGTAACCTCTTCAGCACACGTCTTTTTTCCAACAGTGGGACTTTGCGGGGACTTCTTGCAGATAGCTTGGCTTCACATCGGCGTCTTCTAATTGTAACAGTCCTCACAGGGAACGTCACACCTTCTTTCATCTTCCTGGAGCTGATTGTTGGCTGAGTCCGCGCCATTTTGGCTATTCTTCTATCCATTCCAATGGTAGTTTTTTCGCTTTCTTCCGCGTCTTTCAGGTTTTGGTTGCCATTTTAAAGCATTTGCGATCATTTTAGCTGAGCAGCCAATTATTTTCTGCACTTCTTTATATGTTTTCCCCTCTCCAATCAACTTTTTAATCAAGGTACGCTGTTCTTCTGAACAATGTCTGGAACGACCCATTTTCCTCAGAATTTCAGAGAGAAATGCACTGTAACCAGCATGTGCAACATTTGCTGCCTTCCTTCCTTAAATAAGGGCAATAATTGCCACCTGTTCTGTCAAAGAATGAATGACCTCACTAATAGAACTCCACACTGCTATTATTTTGAACACGCCCCTTTCAATGAGTGATTCAATGACACAGAATCAGCAGCATGCATGTCATGACAGTTGGGTCTGTTGGATTTCTATGACTCTACTACACCTGCTAGGAAATTATTTGCCATGTAGAAATATCATTTCCACCAAAAACAGTGATTGATGTCTGACTGCTATTATTTTGAACACAACTGTATATATACAGTCAGGTCCATAAATATTGGGACATAGACACAATTCTAACATTTTTGGCTCTATACACCACCACAATGGATTTGAAATGAAACGAACAAGATGTGCTTTAACTGCAGACTGTCAGCTTTAATTTGAGGGTATTTACATCCAAATCAGGTGAACGGTGTAGAAATTACAACAGTTTGCATATGTGCCTCCCACTTGTTAAGGGACCAAAAGTAATGGGACAATTGGCTTCTCAGCTGTTCCATGGCCAGGTGTGTGTTATTCCCTCATTATCTCAATTACAATGAGCAGATAAAAGGTCCAGAGTTCATTTCAAGTGTGCTATTTGCATTTGGAATCTGTTGCTGTCAACTCTCAAGATGAGATCCAAACAGCTGTCACTATCAGTGAAGCCATCATTGGGCTGAAAAAACAAAACAAACCCATCAGAGAGATAGCAAAAACATTAGGCGTCGCCAAAACAACTGCTTGGAACATTCCTAAAAAGAAGGAACGCACCGGTGAGCTCAGCAACACCAAAAGACCCGGAAGACCACGGAAAACAACTGTGGTGGATGAGCGAAGAATTCTTTCCCTGGTGAAAAAAACACCCTTCACAACAGTTGGCCAGATCAAGAACACTCTCCAGGAGGTAGGTGTATGTGTGTCAAAGTCACCAATCAAGAGAAGACTTCACCAGAGTGAATACAGAGGGTTCACCACAAGATGGAAACCATTGGTGAGCCTCAAAAACAGGAAGGCCAGATTAGAGTTTGCCAAACGACATGTAAAAAAGCCTTCACAGTTCTGGAACAACATCCTATGGACAGATGAGACCGACATCAACTTGTACCAGAGTGATGGGAAGAGAAGAGGATGGAGAAGGAAAGGAACTGCTCATGGTCCTAAGCATACCACCTCATCAGTGAAGCATGGTGGTGGTAGTGTCATGGCGTGGGCATGTATGGCTGCCAATGGAACTGCTTCTCTTGTATTTATTGATGATGTGACTGCTGACAGAAGCAGCCGGATGAATTGTGAAGTGTTTCGGGAATATTATCTGCTCATATTCAGCCAAATGCTTCAGAACTCATTGGAGGCTTCACAGTGCAGATGGACAATGACCCAAAGCAGACTGCAAAAGCAACCAAAGAGGTTTTTAAGGGAAAGAAGTGGAATGTTCTGCAATGGCCAAGTCAATCACCTGACCTGAATCCGATTAAGCATTTCACTTGCTGAAGACAAAACTGAAGGGAAAATGCCCCAAGAACAAGCAGGAACTGAAGACAGTTGCAGTAGAGGCCTGGCAGAGCATCACCAGGGATGAAACCCAGCGTCTGGTGATGTCTCTGCGTTCCAGGCTTCAGGCTGTAATTGACTGCAAAGGATTTGCAACCAAGTATTAAAAAGTGAAAGTTTGATTTACGATTATTATTCTGTCCCATTACTTTTGGTCCCTTAACAAGTGGGAGGCACATATGCAAACTGTTGTAATTCCTACACCGTTCACCTGATTTGGATGTAAATATCCTCAAATTAAAGCTGACAGTCTGCAGTTAAAGCACATCTTGTTCATTTCATTTCAAATCCATTGTGGTGATGTATAGAGCCAAAAATGTTAGAATTGTGTTGATGTCCCAATATTTATGGACCTGACTGTATATATAAAATTCCAGTATCTATACCGCCATTTGTGGCCGCTATAACTTTCATGTAAACCAATTAATTTAAACATATTGGGATTTTTTTATCTTAGCAAAGACATGGAGCAGAAAACATTTTGGCCTAAATTTACAGTGAAATGATTGCACCAACTGTTGTCACCTTCTCACCAACCTGCTTGGCCATAGTTTGGTAGCCCAGTCCAGCCTTGTGTAGGTCTACAATCTTGTCCCTGACATCCTTGGACAGCTCTTTGGTCTTTGCCATGGTGGAGAGTTTAGAATCTGATGGTTTGATTGCTCCTGTGGACAGGTGTCTTTTATACAGGTAACACAATGAGATTAGCAGCACTCCCTTTAAGAGACTGCTTCTAATCTCAGCTTGTTACCTGTATGAAAGACACCTGGTAGCCAGAAATCCTGTTGAATGATAGGGGATCAAATACTTATTAAATGATGTCACCAGCGTATGCGCTCTAAGGAACAGCATACCTGTGCCGTACTTGGGGCTTCCGCAGTGACGTCATTGCGGCTTGTCAAATGAAAGGCCGAAGCCCGAAAACCCTGGAAGAAGACCAGGTGAAGATGGCACCCCTGTCAGCGGCGACAGGGTGCCGCAGGAGGGATCATCAACTGAAAGGCCAGACCCCGAAAACCCGAAGAAGACCGGGTGAAGGTGGCACCCCTGTCAGCGGCGACAGGGTGCCGCAGGAGCGATACGTTCTAAAAAGTAAATCTGACATAATGTGCTAGTACATTGTGGCTTAAACCTGCAGGGGGACCTTTTTTTTTTCGTTTTGTTAATAAAAAAACAAAAAAAAACATCAAATCTAGACCTGTTGCTTATTAGGATTTTTTGCAAATGGAGTGGGTTGGTTTTTTTTTTTACATTTTAGATAAATGTTAGAGAACTACTAAAGGCCACCATGGCTCGATTTTCTTAATCTCAGCCTTCAGAACTTGAATGCTGCTGAATCAACCAGAATTCAAGCACTCAATGGAGGCCTTTAGCATGTCCAGTGACAAATGATCCTCAACAGGGGTGAGGCTCAGCATTAAAGCAATTGTAAAGGCTCATGTTTTTTTTTTTTATAGGTAAAGTTGATCCAGGGAATATCCGATTGCCTCTCGGGGGTCAGGAAGGATTATTTCCCCTGCAGGAGCAAATTGGATCGTGCTTTGCTGGGTTTTTTTTTGCCTTCCTCTGGATCAACTGGATCATCATGGGTGTAGGAATATAACTTTTTTTTTTTTAATGGTTGAACTGGATGGACTTTTGTCTTTTTTCAGCCAGACTAACTATGTAACTATCCCGTCTTTTATTTTCTGTTCTATTATTTTCTATCCGAATCTATTCTATTCTAAGTCAAATTCATTCTATTTTAATTTTGAAAGACGGTTATATTCTATTTTTTCCTGTTCTATTGTTTTTTTCTAATATATTCTTTTCTATTCAAATGTATTCTATTCAAAATTCAAATTTCAGAAGACGGTTATATCCTATTTTATTCTATTGTTTCTTCTTTTATATTCTAATCTATTCTAATCAATTCTATTCCTTTATTTTCTATTCTAGTTTATTTCTAATATATTCTTTTCTGATCTATTCTAATCAATTCTATTCCTTTATTTTCTATTCTAGTTTATTCTAATATATTCTTTTTCTGATCTATTCTATTCCTTTATTTTCTATTCTAGTTTATTCTAATCTATTCTTTTCTGATCTATTCAAATCTATTCTATTCCTTTATTTTCTATTCTAGTTTATTCTAATCTATTATTTTCTGATCTATTAGAATCTATTCTATGCCTTTATTTTCTATTCTAGTTTATTCTCATCTATTCTTTTCTGATCTATTCGAATCTATTCTATTCCTTTATTTTCTATTCTAGTTTATTCTAATCTATTATTTTTTGATCTATTCTAATCTATTCCTTTATTTTCTATTCTAGTTTATTCTATTCTATTCCATTCTTTTCTATTCTATTTCATTATACTTTTGTTTTCAAATTCCCTTTCAATTGTTTTTATTGCAAATTGTTTCTTTTCAAAAAGAAGGAACAAGACATAACAAGTCCATAGATGTTCGGATGGTATCATCCACAAAGATATTATGACTCATACAAGAAAGGATAGGCACATATGGATAACCAGATACTGTTTCTATCCCCCCAGGGGGTGAACCCAGAGGTGGGCAGACAATTGCAGCAACAATTGGTGCTCTAAGAGTAGATAATAAAGATTATTCTGCAGTACATGTCTGAACAGCAACTTTCGATCAATTGTGGGTGTAGGATTATATTTTTTTTTTTTTTTTTTTTCAATGGTTGAACTGGATGGACTTTTGTCTTTTTTCAGCCAGACTAACTATGTAAAGTAAAACCAAGCTTTTCTGAAGTCATACGGCTACCTAACTGCTATCTGGTGATGATGCTTCTTTTCTATCCTTTTTTTTTTTTTAATGGTCGAACTGGATGGACTTTTGTCTTTTTTCAGCCATGCTATGTAACTATGCATTCTGAGCATGAAGGTGAAAAAGGTAAAAAACCTGCAGCTTCCTCCCCCCCCCCAGCCCCATCAATACTTACCTGAGCCTCATCGAGATCCAGTGATATGCACGACAGCCTCATCTGTCCCTAGTCTCTGCCTTCTCATTGGCTGAGACAGCAAGCAGGAGCCATTGGCTCCCGCTGCTGTCAATCACAGCCAGTCAGCTAATGAGGAGAGAGAAGGGGTGGGGCCAAGCCACGGCTCCATGTACGAATGGAGACACGGAGCAGCGGGTGCCCCCACAGCAAGCTGCTTGCTGTGGGGGCACCCGACAGAAAGGAGGAGCCAGGAGCGTCGGCGGGGGACCTGAGAAGAAGAGGATCCAGGCTGCTCTGTATATGTCTGTATAGGCATGTCTGGTATTAGAATCACTTTAAAGGCAAAGTGACCTTGTCTGTGAAAATTCTAACCCCCCCCCCCCCCCCCCCAAGCACTTTATACTAACCTCCCAAGCGATCCTCTGCTGATCCTTTCTACCTGGCCACCGCTACAAAATACCCAATGTGATCATCTATCATGAGGGGGAGCACATGTCCTTTTTCCAATGATGCGGTGCTCAGGTTTGGTGGCCAACAGCTCACCAGAGCTCCAACACTGGGTATTTCAGGGGGCGCCTACCAGAGGAAGGCACAGTGGATGAGTGTTGGAGAGGGGAGTATAAAGTGCAAGTATACAATCCAAACGCACACGTTCCTGCGTTAAAAATGGTGGCGTTTATAAGTGCTGCAGCGACAGTCGGCTGCAACCGAACAGAATCAGCGAGGGAAAATGTCACCGGCACACCGAGGATCACCAATACGAGTCCAAAAGTTTTAATGAACGATCACATAGTTACAGCAAGGCAGCGTTTCGGAGTCTCACAGGACCCCTTCACATGCCTGATGAAGTATGCAATAAAATATATTATCAGTGAGCGCTTAATAGTTTAGCAGCTAATGCACATAAAGGTAAGCAAGTAAAAAACCTCATAAAAGCTAAAATTCATAAAAGTGCAGCGCTTGAAGAGTATTTCAAATTAAATAAAATATAACGGCATGAAATTATAATTATAAAATAGTGACAGTTCGTGGTAAGGTGCTCGATACAGGAGTTGATGGTGACTTCAAACTTCAGTGGTGTGTCAATAAATGATAGTAAAAATACACACTCACCAGATGCGTATCTTTAAATACGCATGTAATTAATATGACCAGAGGTCAATGGCCAGCCTTTCTGAAGAAGTGCTTTTGCACGAAACGCGTTAAAGGGGCCATTACGTTGTGACGTCTTGCCGCCGGCACCTAGCATAGGTCCGGCGGCCATCTTTTAATTGTGAATGGTCAGTGTACCATTTCCTTGTACACCTAATTATTTTTATCTTCATACCACGTGGATTATTTAATAAATTAAATCATTTTAACTACATTATGGGACATTTTTTGGTTGGCTCCTTGGCGAGCTAACGTTCATTAATAGAGCCCTAGAAGATATAGGAGCAGAATCTCATGTGGCACCATTCCAGAGGAGGGAGCTGTTCCAATATTAGCTGACAAGCATCCACACATCCATTAAGGAGGCCTCTGGCTGGATTCCATTCGCACACACCAAGGGAGACGTCTCTGTAGCTGCCTACCACCCAGAGGGAGGAGAGTCCGTTAAAACGGCTCAACTCATCCGTCCCATCCTGACAGGGGGACCTCTGGTCACATTAATTACATGCGTATTTAAAGATACGCATCTGGTGAGTGCGTATTTTTACTATCATTTATTGACACGCCACTGAAGTTTGAAGTCACCATCAACTCCTGTATCAAGCACCTTACCACGAACTGTCACTATTTTATAAATATCATTTTATACCGTTATATTTTATTTAATTTGAAATACTCTTTAAGCGCTGCACCTTTATGAATTTATGCCCGATGAAGTGATGTGGTCACATGCCTGATGAAGGAGTCCTGCAAGACTCTGAAATGTTGCCTTGCTGTAACTATGTGATCGTTCATTAACTTTTGGACCCGTATTGGTGATCCTCGGTGTGCCGGTGATCCTCGGTGTGCTGGTGACATTCTCCCTTGGGAGTATAAGTGGTCACAGGGACGACTTGTACAAGCACGGTCTCCTTGCACTAAATGGATAAAGATTACAGGTTACAGGTCTCTAAGATGTCAGCAATACTGACCTTTGATGGTGCGTATAAAGTGCTGGAAGAGATCTTTGTAGGCTTCTCTATACCTCTCATGGTGTGAATGGGACAGGGTTGGGAAAGAGGAGTTATTCTCTATAATGCACAGAGGATTCTGATTGTCTAGACGTAGTGATCCCTGACAGCCGTACAGCTAAGAAAAAAAAAAAAAAAAAAAAAAGGACATTTCAAATGAGTTTGCAGAAAGCACCAACGTCATGACATAAACATCTTACTACTACAAAAACTGAACTGTGAAAGACAAAGGAAGGGATTTACTGGATCTCTCAGAATCTGGTGTAGCTGTGCATGGGAGCCAATCAACTTCTAACTTCTGCTTGTTCAGTTAAGCTTTGACTAATAAAAGAAAAAAAAAAAAAAAACCTGGAAGCTGATTGGTTTTTATGCAGAGCTGCACCAGATTTTGCATTCCCCAGTTTTAGTAAATAAGCCCCCACCAACTATTAGAAAGCATTGTGCAATCAGGCTGATCTCCCGAGCTATGGATTACAATAAACATCCGCAATCCTTAACCACTTCCCGTCCAGCCCATGTATATAAATGGCTGGCCGGTGGCAGTGCAGGGTCGGGTGGCTGTTTATAAACAGACTCCCCACCCCCTGCTTGTGCACGCTCCCTGGGAGCGCACAGCACCGCGATCCGGTGCCCGCTGTGTCCTCCGGACACAGTGGAACACCGATCGTCGTACGGGGCCTCTATGCGAGGTCCCGATCATGTGATCACTCGTTGGCCAATCAGTGATCACAGGAAGAGTAGTAAGCAAGATGTCACTTCTGACATCATTGCTTACTACGTGTGAAATCTGTGAATGATCACAGAGGTCACATGGTACAGGGCTATTCACAACAGCCTTGTACCATGTGACAAGCTGTGACCAATCACAGCTCACACAGTAGTTCTCAATGGCTGCAAGAATGCAGCCAGAGAGAAGGAGAGATGATTGCTTGTACATCCTTTATGGGTGTAAAAGCAATCAATGTAAAAAAAATCTTCATCACCCCCCACAAGTAGTACAGTATCACCATGGTGAGTTTTTAGTGAGAATTATGCTTTATGTGCATGTTTTAGTTTTTCTTCTCATGTAGCCAGGGGCGTATTTCCCGCGAGGCAAACAAGGATTTCGGGTGGGGGGCGCTGGAATAAGGGACGCTGGTTGTCCTGCCTTCAGCCACTGGTTCAAGGGAGTGGATGGCGCTGTGTATGAGAAGGCTCCGAGGGGCACCAGGGCTGGGCGGCAGAGCAAACTGATATAGGCAGCACTGATAGAGCAGAGGTGAGCTGTGATGTGAGGTGAGCTCCAGAGAGCTGTGGTGGTGAGTCTCTCTGGGAAAAGGGGGGGGGTGAAGTGGCATCACAAGACCTAAATACACCACTGCATGTAGCCCAGTCTTACCTCCAGCCTTTGGTCGCAGGTTTTTGTGCAATGCTGACTGATATCCAAACTCACTATGATTCCGCTAGAAAACTTCATGCTGATGTTCACCGTGTCTGCATCCTTCATTGTGCCTAGATCTAGGCAAGGAAAAGAAGTATGAATTAAATGGTTGTAGTATCACACGAAACGTAAAAGCTCAGCTCCAGGTAGGTATGAAAGACACAAATGAATGGAACTCTGTTTTAATTAATAAATCTTTATACAGGCGTACCTCGGTTTACAAACGCCTCGGTTTACCAATGAAAATCCATTGAAAATAATGTCTCGGTTTACAATTTTTTTTTCGCAATATGAACGGATTAATTGGTTTTCAATACATTTACAAATTTTTTTTTTCCATCATGTCCCTGTACAGTATATATGCCTTTAAAGTGCACTTTATAAAGAGTTTTGAACAGATAAGACTTTTTTTCTGACCTCCGGAAACGGATTAATTGGTTTTCAATGTATTTACATATTTTTTGCGCAATACAAACAGATAAATTGGTTTTCAATGCATTTATGGATTCATTTTTAATCATGTCCCTGTACAGTATTTATGCCTTTAAAGTGCACTTTATAAAGAGTTTTGAACAGATAAAAGACTTATTTTTAACTTTTTTTCTGACCTCTGGAACGGATTCATTTTCGCAATACGAAAGTCCCACAGAACGCATTAAATTTGCTTTATGAATGGCCCCGTAGTCTTCTGGGATCTGTCACATCTTCCAGAAGACTACCGGGGGGGGGGGGGGTCAAATTTGGGTACCCGCTCCCCAAAGGTGCCAATTCTTAATGGGAGTGGGGGGACAAAGGCTTAAAGCGAAACTTCCCCTTTTGAGTGGAGCTCCGCTTTAAGAGTCCATTGGAGTCAGTAAGTGGGACCACCAGTGGGGAGCACCAAGAACTCTGTACTTTATTAACCTCCCTGGCAGTATGATTATTTCCGATTTTTTGTGCTCAAAGCGGTACATTTTTTTGCATGGAAATCTGTAGTTTTTTATTGTAGGCTGTAATTTTTAGGAATAACTCACTGAAATCTGTCCGAACAAGAGTCTAGTAAACATCCCGGGGATGATAAAATTTGAAACACGAAATCATAAATTATAATTTAATAAATAATCATAAAAAAATAATATAATAATAATAAATTTAATTCAATAATATAATCAAACCAAAAACACTGAAATGTGAAATATAGCGCCAAGTTCGCACATCGCTGAGCTCAGTCGCAGAATCGTTTTCAGTGTCTGATGAGGAATTTCCCCCACCAATCATTATCACTCAATTCTGCAAGTGGTTCTGATTTACTATCGCTGTTCTCTAGCCGGTCTAAAACTGCGTCTGACCTAAAGGGGCGCTTTTTGGACGCCATGGACGTTTCTCAGTTTCCAGGCAGAAAGAACAGTCAAAATGCAGGCAGGGCGCCGGACAAAGCACTCGGGACAAAATGTATGTGAAATGGTTTGATACAGGAATGTTTTACTATGTAATAATCATTTAAAAAAAAAAAAAAAAAAAAAAAAGTCATTTTTGAAAAATTTCAAATTTGCCGCCGGTTCTGGCGCCCGTACGTCCCGACGTCACAGGGACCGGAACACGGAAGCCGGATGCCGGCATCGGCTGGAGGAGATGGCCGGGGACGCTGCAGGGGACACATCGCGGGAGCGAAGGACAAGGTAAGTGCTGCAGGGACTCCCTGAGCAACGCCGCATGGTAAGCCCGAGTGTAACTCGGGGTTACTGCTCTTGGTACTCAAATTTTACCCCGAGCTACACTCGGGAATACCGCCAGGGAGGTTAAAAAGAACGTCACGCTTGCACACAGAGACTGTTTAACAGATAAATGTGCACTTGAAATTTAGTGGATTGCCTCCTACACCATCTGTAACCTGTATGATGACAAGAACGCTGTAGAGAAGATACGAGTCGGTTTATAACAGGATGCCCGACTAGCTTGTAAAAATAATATTTTAGAGTAACCACTTTTATTAAGGGGAAAAAAAAAAAAACACATTCCTCTCTGGGTGATCTCTGTACATTGCAGGGAATTTTACAAACTGTGTTTCAGGTCTCTGCCTCTGTTATTCTGAAGACATATTTGTTTGTTTCTCTGTGTCCATGTGCAAAGTGAATCTGTATGGCAGTGATTTCACAATTATCAGTCAGCTGCTGCACCTGCAAGATTTCCTCTTTGGGAGTATTTCATCAAAAATTTAATTTTTTGTTACAGGGGATGCCAAAAATCTGACTTGTATCTTAGTGCAGACTTCTTGGGAAATGAGTGAGCCAATCACACAAGCAGAAAATACATTTTCGGGGATGTCACGTATACCATCTGCAGCACACCTCCGGGTAGTCATATTGCATTTTACAGAAAATGACAGCGCTGCAGATTGAAAAAGGTCTTTTTTAATAACATTCGCCCGGGTTCACACCAATGCTGCAAATCCTGCGCGTTTCCTGCACCGCATTGCAATCGCATCATGTTCACGTGAGCAGGTGTGGGTGTCAATAAAATTAATAACACCCCAAAACAGATTGCAAAATGAGATGCGATTGCCAGAAATCGCATCGCATGGGTGAGAACAGCCATACGATGCGATTTAGGTGCGGATTTTAAAAAAAGGGTCCTGAACCTTTCTGGTGTGGATGTGATGCGATTTGAGCCACACAAAATGTATGGCTCAAATGGCACCACACATACATTTGCATATAATTCGCAAAGGAATGCGGTGCGATTCCTGTGCGAATTAAATGTGGTCCTGCACCGCATAGTGTGAACCCGGGCTCAATTACAATAGGACTTGATCCCGATTGTATATGTTATATTATTATTTTAGTAGAAAGTAGAGTCACCCTTTAAAGCTCTGGGTGAAAGAAAAGCATATCTAGGCAGTATAAAAACAATTATGCAGCAGTGTCTAATGTAGGTGCACCATGTGACCTTGATTCTAGTGAATGTAAAAAGGTAAATATGATAGAAATCAAAGTAAAGTGAAACAACGAAGGGGGCAAAATTCCTGCATAGCAGTGTAGTACTGCGTATTCTATGACAATCAGCCTCATACCAGAACAGAAGGCATGTCCCAGTGAGAACACTGTATCTGGAACACTCACGCCAAGTAACCAGCTGACAATATCGATGTCGTGTAAAGCCGTGCTATAGAAGATGCCTCCTACAAAAGGAAAGAATATAATTAGTACTATGATTTATAGTGTGTCCTTATGGTAGTGACTTGGAAACAGAGAAATGTGAGACAGACGGAAACGGTAAAAAAACGAGGGAAGAAATGAATGAGAATGCGAGAAAGAGGGGGATAGAGCGAGGGGGATAGAGAGGGGGGGGAGAGAGAAAGAGAGGAGGGGGGGGAGAGAGAAGAGAGAGGAGGGGGGGGGAGAGAGAAAGAGAGGAGGGGGGAGAGAGAGAGAAAGAGGAGAGGGGGGAGAGAGAGAGAAAGAGGAGGGGGGGAGAGAGAGAAAGAGGAGAGGGGGGGAGAGAGAGAGAAAGAGGAGAGGGGGGAGAGAGAGAAAGAGGAGAGGGGGGAGAGAGAGAAAGAGAGAGGGGGGAGAGAGAGAAAGAGAGAGGGGGGAGAGAGAGAAAGAGAGAGGGGGGAGAGAGAGAGAAAGAGAGGGGGGGGAAAGAGAGGGGGGGGAAAGAGTAAGCGAGGGGGGGAAAGAGTAAGAGAGGGGGGGAAAGAGTAAGAGAGGGGGGGAAAGAGGGGGAAAGAGAGAAAGAGGGGGAAAGAGAGAAAGAGGGGGATAGAGAGAAAGAGGGGGATAGAGAGAAAGAGGGGGAGGGGAGGGGGAGGAGAGAAAGAGGGGGAGGAGAGAAAAGACGGGGGGAGGAGAGAAAGAGACTGGGGGGGGGGGAGAGAAAGAGACGGGGGGGGGGGAGAGAAAGAGACGGGGGGGGAGAGAAAGAGACGGGGGGGGAGAGAAAGAGACGGGGGGGGGAGAGAAAGAGACGGGGGGGGAGAGAAAGAGACGGGGGGGGAGAGAAAGAGACGGGGGGGAGAGAAAAGAGACGGGGGGGGGGGGGGAGAGAAAGAGACGAGGGGGGGTTTTTTTTCATCTTTTGAGAGAGAGCAAGAGGGGGGGAGAGAGAGCAAGAGAGGGGGGGGGGAGAGAGAGCAAGAGGGGGGGAGAGAGAGCAAGAGAGGGGGGAGAGAGAGCAAGCAAGAGGGGGGGGAGAGGGAGCGAGAGCGCAAAAGAGAGCAACATACAACATACAAAGAGGGAAACGGTGTGATGTACCAAAACGCTCATCACAGCGCCCCCCCACCACAGCTCGCTGCAACTGACAGACGGCTACATGAAGGCCAATGGGGAGCATTTAGTAAACAGGCAGTGAAAATCAGCCCTTTTCAACGTATAAAAAAGAAAAAAAACAAAAAAGAAAAAACGGGCTCTATCAATGGCTGGACCATATTGTACACATTTCCATGACTCCCTCCAGATATCCACGCCTACAAGACTCTGATTATGCATCATGCTGTAACCTATATATTCTGCAGATTGTTCAGGCCTGGCTATGACGGATCAGTAATGTGTATTTGGAGGCCCAGTCTCTGTACCTGACATCTTCAACCTGTTGAGAGGAATCGGAGGATAGAGACGACTGACTGCAGAAAGCCTCTGAATTCTTCCCATGCCGCTGGACTCATGAAGTTTTTTGTATAAGTATCTTAGCGCGGGGTCAAATCTCCTGTATAAGAAAGAAGGTTCTCAGATTACTTATGGTATACCTAAAACTAGAAATAACAAAACAAAAAACCCCACACAACTAATAAAGAATGGAAAGTACTGCTTTTAACCAACACATAAAGTGATTCTAAGGGAAAGATTAAAAAACAAAACAAACAAAAACAAGCATGTTATACTTAACTGCTCTGTGTAATGGTTTTGCACAGAGCATCCCCAATCCCCTTCTTTTTGGGTCCCTGCTGCTGAGTGCAACCAATCTCTTGAGACGCACTATGTGTGTTCATTAACCGCTTCCATACCGGGCACTTTTACCCCCTTCCTGCCCAGGCCAGTTTTCAGAGCTCTCACACTTTGAATGAAATTGTGCGGTCATGCAGCACTGTACCCAAACTAAAATTTTATAATTTTCTTCACACAACTAGAGCTTTCTTTTGGTGGTACCGCTGGGGTTTTTATTTTTTGCTAAATTAACAAAAAAAGACCGAAAAAAAAAAAAAACACGTTTTTCTTTGTTTCTGTTATTAAAGTTTGCAAATAAATAATTGTTCTTCATAAATTTAGGCCGAGATGTATTCTGCTACATGTCTTTGGTGAAAATAACCCAAATGAGGATGTATTATTTAGTTTGTAGGAAAGTTATAGAGTTCACAAACTATGTTATAGATCTGAATATTGATCAATCCTGAAGTACTGACGGCCAATCTAATTTCTTGAGGTCCAAGAATGTCAGAACGGTACAGATATCCCCCCAATGTCAAAACAGTACAGATATCCCCCAAATGTCAGGACGGGACAGATATCCCCCAAATGTCAGGACGGGACAGATATCCCCCAAATGTCAGGACGGGACAGATATCCCCCAAATGTCAGGACGGTACAGATATCCCCCAAATGTCAGGACGGGACAGATATCCCCCAAATGTCAGGACGGTACAGATATCCCCCAAATGTCAGAACGGTACAGATATCCCCCAAATGTCAGAACGGTACAGATATCCCCCAAATGTCAGAACGGGACAGATATCCCCCAAATGTCAGAACGGGACAGATATCCCCCAAATGTCAGAACGGGACAGATATCCCCCAAATGTCAGAACGGGACAGATATCCCCCAAATGTCAGGACGGGACAGATATCCCCCAAATGTCAGGACGGGACAGATATCCCCCAAATGTCAGGACGGGACAGATATCCCCCAAATGTCAGGACGGGACAGATATCCCCCAAATGTCAGGACAGGACAGATATCCCCCAAATGTCAGGACAGTACAGATATCCCCCAAATGTCAGGACAGGACAGATATCCCCCAAATGTCAGGACAGTACAGATATCCCCCAAATGACCCCTTTTTGCAAAGTAGACAGTCCAACGTATTTCATAAGAGGCATGGCGAGTTTTTTGAAGTTGTATTTTTTTTGCCATAATTTTTCGGAAAGTGAAAAAAATTAGAAATTTTTTCCCCTTTTTTTCTTTTTTTACATACTGTCACCAGTGCAGTACAGTGTCATCATATAACTGGCATGGCGGTGATCAGGGACACTGACTGGTGACAGTATGAAAAAAATAAATATATAAATTATTTTTAATTTTTAATTACATCTCTTTTAAGATTTTTTTTTCATATTTCACTATGACCAAAGTAGTACAATGTTACCATAGGACCTCATGGGACTTGTAGTTTGGCAACAGCCGGAGGGCCACCAGTTTGACGGGAAGGAAGTGGGGAGGAAGGGGGGGGGGGGGGGGGAGACTTCCGCTTCCGATCGCCTAGGCAACCACAGCAGAAGTGGGAGCGGGTACCTGTCAAATTCAGGTACCCGCTCCCCAAAGGTGTCAATCCTTAATGGGGAGCGGGGGACAAAGCGTTAAAGTACAACCATAATAACAAGATCGCAAATATATCACTTACTTGTAAAAGCCGCATACTAGCGGCTTTCCGCGTTTCTCCGCTTCATCGAAGCACGCTTCCACCATCGCTGTGTTGGTACTGAGGAGATTCTCGCACAGGACAGCTTTCCCTTGAAATGAACACACAGAGATCTATGGGAATATTTGTGAAGTCCCGCACATGCCTTTACTTTACAGCGGATACAGCGCTGACCAACAGATACTAGAGAGGGATGAGCGTCTCCCTTCCAATCATCATCATGAGTTGTTTCCTACAATTCCACCAGGGAATTAGAAAAGAGCTCTCAGCATCACAAAGTTAAAAAGGAACTCCAGACATAATTATTCAGAGCCAATGGAAACATTTATAGAAACACAATGCCTTGTCTCCAATTTGAGGCACCTAACCCGGCCATCGCTCTCTCACTTCATCCCAAAGACACACCAAGCTGGCCATCTATGGGGTCATTAGAACGGGGAGAAACTAACACATATGAATATTATTCACTTAGCTCAGTATTATAAAATTGAATTTTCTCTTTGATTTTAAAGTGCTATTCTTAGTCACTGCAGAGCTGCCGCCTGGCAGCACTAGAGTCCCCGATTCAAATCCCACTCCTGGCAGCACTAGAGTCCCCGATTCAAATCCCACTCCTGGCAGCACTAGAGTCCCCGATTCAAATCCCACTCCTGGCAGAACTAGAGTCCCCGATTCAAATCCCAGAACCTGCCTGGAGTGTGAATGTTCTCCTTGTGCCTGTGTGGGTTTCCTGCAGGTACTCCAGTCTACTCCAGCACTCCAAAGACAGGTTGGTAGGTTAATTGGCCCTAGTATGTATGAATGTGACTTCGAGACCTTAGATTTTAAGCTCCTTGAGGGCAGGGACTGATGTGAATGTACAATATACAGTACTGTGCAATAGGGATACAATAGGGATGCACCGATGCCCATACCAAGTATTTTCACGAATACTAGTGAAAATGCTCCCGATACCCGAAACCAATACTTGGCGTCCATACAAAATGACTGGGCACAAATTGCACTGAAAAGAATGGCATGCGACTTGAACAGGAATGCAATGCGAATCCTGTCTGAAATCGCATTCGGTTTCCCGCACCGCTCCTGTGTACCCAGGCTGAAATCTCGATGACAAGCCTGAGTTCACACAGGAGCGGTGCGAGAAACCACTTGTGGTTTGGACAGGAAGCGCGCCGCATTCCTGTTCAAATCGCATGCCTTTCCTTGCAGTGCAATTTGCGCCCATTAGTTTTTTTATATCGCACAGTAGAATATATATATAAATCGCTGCATGAACTGTTGGCGGTATACAAGTACAAGTACCTGTAACAAATACATAAATGTCATCCAACTAAAAGAAAGAAGGGTGATTCAGTGACTTTCAGCCCTCAGCTACTTATTTCTTCTATTTATTACAGGTACTTATATAGTGCTGTCAATTTACACAGCGCTTTACACACACACATACATATATATATATATATACACACACACAAATATATATATACACACACAAATATATATACACACACACACACACATATATATTATATACACACACACATATTTATTTTATATTCACATCGGTCCCTAACCCTCAAGGAGTGTACAATCTAAGGTCCTTAACTTACATTCATACATACACATACTAGGGCCAATGTGGACAGGAGCCAATTCACCTACCATCATGTCTTTGGAGCGTGGGAGGAAACCGGAGTACCAGGAAGAAACCCACGCAGGCACAGGGAGAACATCCAAACTCCAGGCAGGTGGTGTCGTGCTTGGGATTCGAACCAATGACCCGAGTACTGCCAGGCGGAAGTGCTAACCATTTATTCTCCATACAGTTGCAAGAAAAAGTATGTGAACCCCTTGGGATTATGTGGAGTTTTGCATGAATTGGGCATAAAATGTGCTCTGAATGTCATCTAAGTCACAACAATAGAAGAACACAGTCTGCTGAACATAATACTACACAAACATTAGATGTTGCCATGGTTTAATTGCACATAACATGTAAACATTCACAGTGCAGGGAGGAAAAAGTATGTGAGGCCCTAGCTTAATGACTTCTCCCAGAGCTAATTGGAGCCAGGAGTGAGCCAACCTTGACTCCAATCAGTGCGATGATATTGGATGTGTTGCTGACAGCTGTCCTGCCCTTAAAAAACACGCACCTGTTTTGGGTTTACTGGTTTCAAGAAGCACTGTCTGATGTGAACCATGCCTCGCAGAAAAGAGCTCTCAGAAGACCTACGATCAAGAATTGTTGACTTGCATGAAGCTGGAAAGGGTTACAAAAGTATCTCCAAAAGCCTTGATGTTCATGTGTCCACGGTAAGACAGACGGTCTACAAATGGAGAAAGTTTAGCACTGTTGCTACTCTCCCTAGGCGGGGTCGTCCTGTAAAAATGACTACAAGAGCACAGCGCAGAATGCTGCATGAGGTAAAGAAGAATCCCAGAGTGTCAGCTAAAGACCTACAGAAATCTCTGGCACATGCTAACATTTTTGTTGACACATCTACAATAAGGAAAACATTAAACAAGAATGGAGTACATGGGAGGACACCACGGAGGAAGCCATTGCTGTCCAAAAAGAAGATTGCAGCACGTTTGAAGTTTGCAAAAGAGCACCTGGATGTTCCACAGCACTACTGGCAAAATATACTGTGGACAGATGAAACCAAGATTGAGATGTTTGGGAAGAACACACAACACTATGTGTGGAGAAAAAAAGGCCCAGCACACCAACATCAAAACCTCATCCCCACTGTGAAACATGGCGGAGGGAGCATCATGGTTTGGGGCTGCTTTGCTGCCTCAGGGCTGGACAGATTGTTGTCATTGATGGGAAAATGAATTCCAGAGTTTATCAAGACATTTTGCAGGAAAACGTACGACCATCTGTCCACCAACTGAAGCTCTGCAGAGGATGGGAACAGGACAATGACCCAAAGCATACAAGTCATTCAACAAAACAATGGCTGCAACAGCACAGAATACGCCTTCTGGAGTGGCCCAGTCAGAGTCCTGACCTCAACCCCATTGAAATGCTGTGGCTTGACCATAAGAGAGCGATTCACACCAGACATCCCAAGAATATTGCTACACTGAAACAGTTTTGTGAAGAGGAGTGGTCCAAAATGACTCCAGATCATTGTGCAGGTCTGATCTGCAACTACAGGAAACGTTTGGTTGAGGTTATTGCTGCCAAAGGAGGGTCAACCAGTTATTAAGTCCAAAGGTTCACATACTTTTTCCTCCCTGCACTGTGAATGTTTACATGTTATGTGCAATTAAACCATGGCAACATCTAATGTTTGTGTAGTATTATGTTCAGCAGACTGTGTTCTTCTATTGTTGTGACTTAGATGACGTTCAGAGCACATTTTATGCCCAATTCATGCAAAACTCCACGTAATCCCAAGGGGTTCACATACTTTTTCTTGCAACTGTATCTAATGGTAGTGCGAGGTCTGAAGCAAGATCTTGAACTAGCTGTGCTGTGATGGCCCTGATGCTACTGGAGGTGAAGCTATAACATATACACCAATTTTATAACCACAACATAAACAATAGTAATATCTGACAACACAATATAAGCTTTCATGTTGTGAGTGCTGCCTGTCTGCTGGCCGTCTCTTTCCGCAGCTTCCTGGATTCCCTGCATGCTTTGCAGCTTATATGTAGTTTCAGTTTCTAAGGACTACGTATCCCATAGTACCTGGTTGCCTGCCATCTCCTCTACCTACATTCAGCCCGCTCCGGTCCAGTCCTGCGATTCCCCGTGTCAGCCATCCACAGCTGCAAGTGAGAGGAGACAGCACTCAGCACTGGCTGGGAATTCCAGGAGTGGCTTTGTCACTCACAGGCTCCCATGTTCAGCCATTGTCGGCTCTCCCTCATCTCCCCTGCAGCCACCGCTGGCTAACACAGAGGAGCTGGATCACATGAATGGACCAGAGCGGGCTGAAAGTAGGTAAGTAAATACATCTTTTTTATTTTTACACAGCATAGTCAGCCTAGATGTTAGGCGGGGGCAGGGAGCGTTTTTAAGACTAAGTTCAGGCTGGAATTCTACTCGCTAAACAGAATTTATTCCCGATTAAAGAAATCACTTGGCAGGTAACCGTTTCCATGTATAAATTGATTATATTCTGTTTTTTTTGCCTGAAATCTGTGGTTTGATTGTACACAAATGTTTTAAAGGTGGCTGGAGCCAGGAATCCAATGATACTTACCAGCACGTAATGCTTCCAGGGTCAACCGGGCGGCTGCGACTGGCGGAGAGCAGATGACAATACCAGACACACTGAAAAGGCATGGCGGACCAAACATAACGTAAGAGACAAAACCAGCAATAGAACAGAAAATGCAACAGCTACACAATAGCCAAAAATGTGTATTGCCAGGATAACAAATGCTGCCCCTAGTGGAAGCAAAGTGTATTTTTCCTTTAAAGTGTTACTAAACCCAGGACCCTGCATTCAGTATCCACTCTCCCCGGACCCCCGCATTCACTATATCCGCTCTCCCCGGACCCGGCATTCAGTATCCACTCTCCCCGGACCCCCGCATTCACTACATCCGCTCTCCCCGGACCCCGCATTCACTACAGTCAGGTCTATAAATATTGGGACATCAACACAATTCTAACATTTTTGGCTCTATACACCACCACAATGGATTTGACATGAAACGAACGAGATGTGCTTTAACTACAGACTGTCAGCTTTAATTTGAGGGTATTTACATCCAAATCAGGTGAACGGTGTAGGAATTACAACAGTTTGCATATGTGCCTCCCACTTGTTAAGGGACCAAAAGTAATGGGACAGAATAATAATCATAAATCAAACTTTCACTTTTTAATACTTGGTTGCAAATCCTTTGCAGTCAATTACAGCCTGAAGTGTGGAACGCATAGACATCAGCAGACGCTGGGTTTCATCCCTGGTGATGCTCTGCCAGGCCTCTACTGCAACTGTCTTCAGTTCCTGCTTGTTCTTGGGGCATTTTCCCTTCAGTTTTGTCTTCAGCCAGTGAAATGTTCAATCGGATTCAGGTCAGGTGATGGACTTGGCCATTGCAGAACATTCCACTTCTTTCCCTTAAAAAACTCTTTGGTTGCTTTTGCAGTCTGCTTTGGGTCATTGTCCATCTGCACTGTGAAGCGTCCAATGAGTTGTGAAGCATTTGGCTGAATATGAGCCGATAATATTCCCGAAACACTTCAGAATTCATCCGGCTGCTTCTGTCAGCAGTCACATCATCAATAAATACAAGAGAAGCAGTTCCATTGGCAGCCATACATGCCCACGCCATGACACTACCACCACCATGATCACTGATGAGGTGGTATCTTAGGATCATGAGCAGTTCCTTCTCCATACTCTTCTCTTCCCATCACTCTGGTACAAGTTGATCTTGGTCTCATCTGTCCATAGGATGTTGTTCCAGAACTGTGAAGGCTTTTTAACATGTCGTTTGGCAAACTCTAATCTGGCCTTCCTGTTTTTGAGGCTCACCAATGGTTTCCATCTTGTGGTGAACCCTCTGTATTCACTCTGGTGAAGTCTTCTCTTGATTGTTGACTTTGACACACATACACCTACCTCCTGGAGAGTGTTCTTGATCTGGCCAACTGTTGTGAAGGGTGTTTTCTTCACCAGGGAAAGAATTCTTCGCTCATCCACCACAGTTGTTTTCCGTGGTCTTCCGGGTCTTTTGGTGTTGCTGAGCTCACTGGTGCGTTTCTTCTTTTTAAGAATGTTCCAAACAGTTGTTTTAGCCACGCCTAATGTTTTTGCTATCTCTCTGATGGGTTTGTTTTGTTTTTTCAGCCTAATGATGGCTTCACTGATAGTGACAGCTCTTTGGATCTCATCTTGAGAGTTGACAGCAACAGATTCCAAATGCAAATAGCACACTTGAAATGAACTCTGGACCTTTTATCTGCTCATTGTAATTGGGATAATGAGGGAATAACACACACCTGGCCATGGAACAGCTGAGAAGCCAATTGTCCCATTACTTTTGGTCCCTTAACAAGTGGGTGGCACATATGCAAACTGTTGTAATTCCTACACCGTTCACCTGATTTGGATGTAAATACCCTCACATTAAAGCTGACAATCTGCAGTTAAAGCACATCTTGTTCGTTTCATTTAAAATCCATTGTGGTGGTGAATAGAGCCAAAAATGTTAGAATTGTGTCGATGTCCCAATATTTATGGACCTGACTGTATATCCGCTCTCCCCGGACCCCGCATTCACTATATCCGCTCTCCCCGGACCCCGCATTCACTATATCCGCTCTCCCCGGACCCCGCATTCACTATATCCGCTCTCCCCGGACCCCGCATTCACTATATCCGCTCTCCCCGGACCCTACATTCACTATATCTGGTCTCCCCGGACCCCGCATTCACTATATCTGCTCTCCCGGACCCTGCATTCACTATATCCGCTCTCCCCGGACCCCACATTCACTATATCCGGTCTCCCCGGACCCCTCATTCACTATATCCGCTCTCCCCCGGACCCCGCATTCACTATATCCGCTCTCCCCGGACCCCGCATTCACTATATCCGCTCTCCCCGGACCCTGCATTCACTATATCTGCTCTCCCGGACCCCGCATTCACTATATCTGGTCTCCCACAGCACACAGCATGGAAATGCAATTATTTTAGTAAATATAAACTGCTAAATACCTTTACTCATCAGCAGTATATAGCAGTCTTGTGACTTCTAGCAGTGTTCAACAGAGCACTGGTTAAAGATTGTAGGAGGGGTTTTTTTTCTGCTCTAGGAGGATGCAGAACCCCTGACCTCTGTCTTGACAGTGCTGATCACATGCACTCTCCCAAGAAAGAAAAAAAAAAAAAAAAAAAAAAAACCTCCGTAGCAATATACACCAAACTGAGCATGTGCAGAGTGACTCCACACGATATGTATTATCAGGAGATAAGAGGGGGACCCTGGAAGAAAGGATTAGAGAAGACAGGATCAATCAGCAATTTTACACAATACGGAGGATTAACCCCTTAGGTTCCACAGTGAGTATAACCAGCATGCTTTGCTGCATCTACAGACCGATTGTACTGTTGTGGGTTTAGTAACACTTTAAGCAGATGAGTTAAAAATGACATGACTGAGCAACAAATAGAGTCAATAGATGGCTTTTTGCACACTGTGGAACATTTGTTTACATGTACATCAATAAGAAGTGATTCATGAAAGCATAAAAAAAAAAAAAAAAAAAAAAAAAAAAAAAACAACACACACACGGTAAGCAAACTCTGTATGACCATTTTAGTTTTTTGCTACAACTGATCAACTTGGGTTGATTGAAAGCATCACTTGTCGCTCAGCCATGCCATTTTTGTCTTACTCGATCATCGTCGGAGTCGATCGTTTTGTCGAATCTGACATCAGTCATTCAGTTTTACTTCAGAATGGTTCTCAAGTGTTCTACACAGTTCAGTTCTATACTGACCTCAACCCTACTGAGCATCATTGGGATGAATTGAAATGCCAATTGTTGACCAGATCTTCTCCTCCAACATCAATACCTGACCTCACAAATGCTATTTTGGTTTAACCCCCCTGGCGGTATTCCTGAGTGTAGCTCGGGGTAAAGTTTCAGCACCACAAGCGGTGACCCCCCCCCGAGCTACACTCGGGAATACACTGCAGCGTTGCTCCGGGAGCCCTCCAGCACTTACCTTGTCCTGCGCTCCCGCGATGTCCCCCCTGCAGTGTCCCCGGCAATGTCATCCGGCCGATGCCGGCATCTGTCTTCCCGGGTTCCGTTCCCTGCGACGTCGGGACGTACGGGGGACGGAACTGGCGGGAAATTTAAAAATGTCAAAAAGTGACATTCGCTAAATACACTAAAATCACATAGTATTACATTCCTGTATCAAACCATTTCACATACATTGTGTCCCGAGTGCTTTGTCCGGCGCCCTGCCTGCATTTTTACTGTTCTTTCTGCCTGGAAACTGAGAAACGTCCATGGCGTCCAAAAAGCGTCCCTTTAGGTCAGACGCGGTTTTAGACCGGCTAGAGAACAGCGATAGTAAATCAGAACCACTTGCAGAATTGAGTGATAATGATTCGTGGGGGAAATTCCTCATCAGACACTGAAAACGATTCTGCGACTTTGCTCAGCGATGTGCGAACTTGGCGCTATATTTCACATTTCAGTGTTTTTGGTTTGATTATATTATTGAATTAAATTTATTATTATTTTTTATGATTATTTATTAAATTATAATTTATGATTTCGGGTTTCAAATTTTATCATCCCCGGGATGTTTACTAGACTCTTGTTCGGACAGATTTCAGTGAGTTATTCCTAAGAATTACAGACCTACAATAAAAAAAACGACATATTTCCATGCAAAAAAAATGTACCACTTTGAGCACAGAAATATGGACATAATCAGACCGCTAGGGAGGTTAATGAGCATCAATTCCAACAGACATGCCCAGACATCTTGAAGAAAGCCTTCCCAGGAGAAGATAGGCTGCAATAGCTGCAAACTGGTGTTGGGTTGGGTGGAGGGGGGAATGGCAACCCTATTTGGAATGGGATATCCAACAAGCCCATACAGATGTCAATGGCAGGTGTCCACAATCCACAGTGTATGTCCAGACATACTTTTTTGGAAACAAAATTTAACTTTTTTGTTTTTTTGGGTATAGTTACATAGTTAGTCTGGCTGAAAAAAAGGCAAAAAGTCCATCCAGTTTAACCATAGAAAAAAAAAAGTTATAATCCTACACCCACAGTTGATCTAGAGGAAGGCAAAACCCCAAAGCAAAGCACGATCCAATTTGCTCCTGCTGGGAAAAAAAAAAGATTCCTTCCTGGTCCCCCGAGAGGCAATCGGATATTTCCTGGATCAACGTTCCCTATAAATGTTATATCCAGTTATATTCTGTGTATCCAAGAAAGAATCCAGGACTTTCCTACAGTAATCCACTGAGCTGGCCACAACCAACTCTGGAGGGAGTCTATTCCACATTTTCACAACTCTCACTGTGAAGAAACCTTTCCGTGTTTGGAAATTAAATTTCTTTTCCTAGTTGTAAAGGGTTAGAATTTCATATCAGATTATTATTGCCATTTGTGGCCCTGCTCAGATGCACTAAATAGAACATTCATAGATGCTGTACTACAGCTAATGAAACACAATCTATGATTGGAGGAGGGCCAGATGATTGAATGGGAGGGGGCAGACCTTTCATAGTTGACATCCCATTCATAGAAGCTGTAGTATGGTTTCCATGAAAGGAGGAGCTTGGTGGAGGGGCGGGCATAGTCAGTCACTCTTGATAAGTGGCTGTCACTGCTCCTTAAAGAGGAGTTCCATTCAACCGATCAAAAAATAAAAGCCAGCAGCTACAAAAACTGTAGCTGCTGACTTTTAAAAAACAGCCACTTACCTGTCCCTTGGTGTGTATCCCGCAGCCCGTTTCACCGACTGTCCTTTATTCCAGGAGGCCGGCATCTTCAGTGTGGGCACCCGGCTGTGATAGCTTGCAACTTCAAAGCCGGTTACCCACTGTGCATGCGTGAGTAGTGCTTCGCTTCATGAATGTTCCTGTAGTCTGGGACCTGTCACGTGTCCCAAAAGACTACAGGGAGGGAGGACACCTTCTGCTTCCGATCGCCTAGGTGATCAGACCGGAAGTGGGAGCGGGTACCTGTCAAATTCGGGTACCCGCTCCCCCAGGAAGGTGCCAATCCTTAATGGGGAGCAGTCCTTAAAGCAGAACTTCCCCTTTTGGGTGGAGCTCCGCTTTAAGGGGCAGAGGAGTCTGATCATTTGAAGGAAAGAAGGAGCCAGAGAATGCATGAAGGTAACAATCTTCAGCCTTTAGAACCACTTGAACATGTGATTTTCCCTCAGAGATTTTCCTCTCCTGTTGTGTCTTTTGGAAAGGAAGTAAAATCTCCCCAGTGGGACAGACAAAAATAAAAAAGCTGAAGGGGGGGCTTTAAATATTTCTTATTACACAACTCAAAACTAAAAAGAGAACTCCTGTGGCAGGTTTACGGTAAAATTACATCAGACATTGACAGAGAAAAAAAAACACCATAATAACAATAGTACAGTGCCTTTCAAAACAAACAAAAAAAAAAAAGGGTTCAAGTTTACCGTTGGTCGCCAAGGGCAATGTCCACATCCTGTTCAGGCAATACTCTCGTCTTGGTCAAGAGTCCACCACCAAAGGCTTTCTCCACTTCAGACAACTGATTCTCTACAATGTAATGCAGGTAACAGCCATGGTCCTCTGTCAAACTTCTCATCAATGCTCTGCTTCCATGACCCACCCCGAATACGGCTAGTCCAATGCCACCGCGGCCGCGTGAGCCAAAGTTGCCGATTGGCCGTCCAGGAACCATGCTATTGGTAGCTTCAGAAATGATATGCCTTTGGTTTATGTGTTTGGAGGATATGGATGGATTCTGGACATGGATTGTGCCAAACGATGACGGGAGTGAGGAAGAGGTAGACGGTGCTGGATCTTTGTTGCTCACTAGGTTTGTGGTGGAGCTGATGGGGTTCAGCGGGCCGGTGATCCAGGAGGGGTGATGGTGGTGAGGAGGAGGAGGAGATGGCACCAGGTTTGTGGTGCTAACGGAGTTACTGCTGGAGCTAGACTGCAGCATGAAGGAGGGCTGAGGGTGCCATGCCGAGTCTAGAGGCACTGGAATATTGCCAACCTGATCACCACCAGTGGAGCTATTAAGAAAAATTACATTTTAAAAAGTGTTAAAGAGAATATACAGAAGATACAGAATAGAATTTCTAGTTCTACGATCGCTTTCCCTCTTCCTAGTCCTTTCCCCAGTGAGATCTCACCTCCAACACACGCTTTGGTCTTAGCCCTGTATCCCTCCTCCAGTGACATGTAAGCTCCCCCTGCAGATCGCTGGTGCCATGCAGGTCACCTGCAGACCTGTCAGTCATTGTATCTGTGTGCCCATACGCCTCGTACGGGCAAGCAGATATACTGACAGGAAGACTCAAACTACCACGGGGGGGCTCCACAGCGCCGTGGTAGTTCAATGACAACTACAAGCCGACAGCTGCAATGGCTGTTGGGACTTGTAGTGTTTTCATTCACAGAAAACTGTAAATGAGTAACACAGCCGGCCGGGAAGAGCATTTTTTAATAATTGTGACAGCTAGTGGGAGGGAGAAGATCCCCCCGCTAGCTGTCACAACAGGGGGCCGGTCCGTTTGTAACATGTTACATCCAGAACACGGGCAAAACATGTAACACGTTACACCCAGAACACGGGTAAAACATGCAACACGTTACACCCAGAACACGGGTAAAACATGCAACACGTTACACCCAGAACACGGGTAAAACATGCAACACGTTACACCCAGAACACGGGTAAAACATGCAACACGTTACACCCAGAACACGGGTAAAACATGCAACACGTTACACCCAGAACACGGGTAAAACATGCAACATGTTCCAAAAGGTGAACTCATCCTTTAATTGCCTTCAAACACTCACATTAAAACCGGAGCTCTGTTCCAGTGCTGCTTGATCAGCCGCCGGTTCCGGTAATGCCGCCCTGAAGCCAGGTGCTCCAAAATCCGGTCCCTCCTGACCCGCATGGGGAGCTCACAGGACTTACAGTACAGCGTCTCCACCACGGTGGTCTCTCCGGAGTCACCGCGTTCAATCAAATGCCTCCTGACCGCCAAGTCCGAGAATTCGGCGGCGTAGTCGTGTAAGGTTTTCTTTTTCCGTCCCATTATGGCCAGAAGATTCAATGGAGATCAGAGTCTTGTCTCGGGAATATCGCGGCGGGTCAGGCACTTGTGAAGGAGGTTTCCTCGAAGGTGGAGGTTCATGCCTTGAAAAAAAAAAAAAAAAACAACAAGCAATCGTCACATTCACAGCAAAGACTCCGAACCAAAACACGGGAGGAACTAGTCTGAGGGCTCCCGCTTTGTTCATCGTTTCAGAAAATCGTCCTCATCCATCAAAGATCACCTTCCTATCAACTGGTTATTTAACCCCTTCACCCCTAAGGGTAAAACAAATCTAAATGCCTAAGCACAATTCTGCAACATTGACACGTGTTAGTACAACCGTCCGTATCATCACAACTACTTTGTACATCCAGGTGGATTATACCTTGATTTTTTCAGGACAAATTGGGCTTTCATTTGGTGGTAAATGGTAATGGATATCTCCTGATTTTTTTTTTTATTATCAAAGGAAAACTGGCCCAAAATAGCAAAACAAAATCCTTTTTTTTTTTCAATTTAGCTGTGCGTTTCTTGTTCCAACCATAACCTACCACCAAAGAACAACCCAAAATAAATTCTCCAGCTCCTGACGATCGCAGCGATACCACATATGTGTATGTTATTTGTTGTTTGTACCCGGAGTACAGCCCAGAAACCAGAGTGCATATTTTGTTTTTGCCTTTCTTTTTTTTTTTACCTAAAGCACACTGACATTAACACTAACTGACACCGACTACCATTTTTTTTTTTTTTTAAATCCTGACCTTTGACCCTGACCTAAACACTAACCCTGGCACTGAACTAGATCAAACCTTGATCTAGGTATTTTTCTTTATTTATCTTTTTTTTTTTACAAACATTTTTTTTTTTCTCTCTATGCCAGGAGTTCGAGAGATACAATGTATCTCTCTTCTCCATTCATAGAGAGAGAGAAAAACAAAGCGGCCGGGCTACACAGTGACTGATCACTGTGATAGCCAATCAGAGGCTATCACAGCAATCATGTGACCCGGGACGAGGAGTCCCGGGTCCCGATTGTTAGAACGGGACCCAGTGCTCTTAGTGACACCGCGGTCTCAGTGCTGGGAGCGCGCCGAGCGGCACGCTCCCAACACAAAGACAGGTACGCAAATATGCGGCCCCACGGAAAAAAGCCCGGTTCCGTGAGGCCGCATATTTGTGTGACGTCGGCGGGAAGGGGTTAACATTCAATGTAAACCCCTAAGGCCCCTTTCACCGATGGGGTCTGCCTGTCCGTCTTTCAGGCGGACCCGATCCATCCATCCATCCATAGCCTTCTATAGACCGGCGGGTGTCAGCAGGGTGTCTGCCCTTGGGAGTCATGCTTGTAACTGTCAATCTTGCAATGCCTCATGGTTCGCCGACACCCGATCTGATCCTGTACGCCAAAAAAAGACGGATGGGGATCCGTCCAGCAGATCGGATCTGATGACAATCAGATGGAAACAGACAGGCGGTCCTCTTCTATCCAATCGTCCCATTGAAATCAGCTGGCAGTGTCTGTGTCCGCTCCGCAGCAGCAGCAGAGCGGACAAGAGACCCGTCATCCACCTGCTCAGCGAGGATCAGCGGAGACATCCCCCGCTGAGCAGGCGGACCACACCGACGGGTCCGCCCCTTCTGAAAGGGGCCTTACTCTCTTACTTACTCGAATATAGTTACAAAATATCTTTTTTTTTTTTTTTTTTAAATCAGAAAAAAAAAAAGGAATCAAAATGAATCAAATTGTCTTTTTTAAAATATCTTATAGATTTAAATCTGCCTTCGTTGTTAACAAAATGGAACAAAGTTAAAGCGGGAAAAAAAAAAGTCAGCAGCTATAAAAAAAAAAAACTAATCAAGATGAATCAAATTTTATTTTTTTAAATATCTTATAGATTTAAATCTGCCTTTAGTTTTACTGTAACACTTTTACAACCACGATTTCAGATTTCTTTAAAATATTACTATTAAAAAAAAAATCAGCTAAAAATATTTAAGTAAAACTAAAGGCAGATTTACATCTTTAAGATATTTGAATAAAAAAAATTTGATTCATCTTGATTAGTTTTTTGTTTTTTTTTTTATAGCTGCTGACTTTTTTTGTGCCCGCTTTAACTTTGTTCCATTTTGTTAACAACGAAGGCAGATTTACATCTTTAAGATATTTTTTTAAAAAAAGGCAATTTGATTAATCTTGATTAGTTTTTTTTTTTCTGATAAGAAAGATATTTTGTAACTATATCATAGTAAATGAGAGAATAAGACCCCTTTCAGATGGGGCCGGATCCGCCAGCGTGATCCACCTGCTCAGCGGACGGAACAGATTAAGGAAGGGATATCGGTCATACACAGGAGGGATCGCAGACCAGTACACGCACATACAGGAGGCGGTGGAGGTAGGTATGACGGGGCACCTACATACAGAAGGTGATGGAAGGCAGCAGTTCGGGGCACTTACAGTCTGTGATGAGGGTGAGCTCAGTGTAAGGGGGCAGAGACAGACCCATCTATGGGGTAGTGAGGGGAGAGGACGGATGTCTGCAGGAGAGTATCAGGGTCAGAGCCCAGGCAGTAATTATGTACAGGTAGGTGACACGGGCATATATAGGTGGCAGTCACAGGAGGGTAGTACAGGGAGCATTAAGTGGCAGTCACAGGAGGGTAGTACAGGGGGCATTTAGTGGCAGTCACAGGAGGGTAGTACAGGGGGCATTTAGTGGCAGTCACAGGAGGGTAGTACAGGGGGCATTAAGTGACAGTTATAGGTGGCAGTCACAGGAGGGTAGTACAGGGGGCATTAAGTGAGTTATAGGTGGCAGTCACAGGAGGGTAGTACAGGGGGCATTAAGTGACAGTTATAGGTGGCAGTCACAGGACGGTAGTACAGGGGGCATTTAGTGGCAGTTATAGGTGGCAGTCACAGGAGGGTAGTACAGGGGGCATAAAGTGGCAGTTATAGGTGGCAGTCACAGGAGGGTAGTACAGGGGGCATTTATAGGTGGCAGTCACAGGAGGGTAGTACAGGGGGCATTAAGTGACAGTTATAGGTGGCAGTCACAGGAGGGTAGTACAGGGGGCATTAAGTGACAGTTATAGGTGGCAGTCACAGGAGGGTAGTACAGGGGGCATTAAGTGACAGTTATAGGTGGCAGTCACAGGAGGGTAGTACAGGGGGCATTTAGAGGGGAGTAGTACAGAGGGAAGATGGTGGATGTGATGGGGGTGGTGCAGGGAGGGGGGGGCAGTAGGTGGTCAGGTAGGTATCAGCACACACTGGCAGGGTAGATGGAGGTAATGGACCCCCCAACTGGCTCCTAGGACGCCCTCAGCTCTCTTCTATGTTCTCTCGGCCTCTTCCAGGTGACTTCCGGATACAAGGACCCCTCTCAGCTCTCCCGGAAGTGGAATCAGGTGACCCGGAAACACAAACGGAAATAGAGTTTGTATCGCTGCCTGCAGGTCGGTGACGTGCTTTTATGTGGGTGACATCTAGTGGCCGCTGTTGGGTACTGCAATCATTTCGGCCAGGCTGCTCCCACAGTACACAGCTGGGAGAACAGATCCCAGAGGACAGGAGGATGAGGACTGCTATGGGGAACAGATCCCAGAGGTCAGGAGGATGGGGACTGCTATGGGGAACAGATCCCAGAGGTCAGGAGGATGGGGACTGCTATGGGGAACAGATCCCAGAGGTCAGGAGGATGGGGACTGCTATGGGGAACAGATCCCAGGGGTCAGGAGGATGAGGACTGCTATGGGGAACAGATCCCAGAGGTCAGGAGGATGGGGACTGCTATGGGGAACAGATCCCAGAGGACAGGAGGATGGGGACTGCTATGGGGAACAGATCCCAGAGGACAGGAGGATGGGGACTGCTATGGGGAACAGATCCCAGAGGACAGGAGGATGGGGACTGCTACGGGAACAGATCCCAGAGGTCAGGGAGATGAGGACTGCTACAGGAAACAGATCCCAGAGGTCAGGGAGATGAGGACTGTTATGGGGAACAGATCCCAGAGGTCAGGAGGATGGGGACTGCTATGGGGAACAGATCCCAGAGGACAGGAGGATGGGGACTGCTATGGGGAACAGATCCCAGAGATCAGGAGGATGAGGACTGCTATGGGGAACAGATCCCAGAGGACAGGAGGATGGGGACTGCTATGGGGAACAGATCCCAGAAGACAGGAGGATGGGGACTGCTACTGGGAACAGATCCCAGAGGACAGGAGGATGGGGACTGCTACGGGAACAGATCCCAGAGGTCAGGGAGATGAGGACTGCTACGGGAAACAGATCCCAGAGGTCAGGAAGATGAGGACTGTTATGGGGAACAGATCCCAGAGGTCAGGGAGATGAGGACTGTTCTGGGGAACAGATCCCAGAGGTCAGGAGGATGAGGACTGCTATGGGGAACAGATCCCAGAGGTCAGGAGGATGAGGACTGCTATGGGGAACAGATTCCAGAGGTCAGGGAGATGAGGACTGCTACAGGGAACAGATCCCAGAGGTCAGGAGGATGAGGACTGCTACGGGGAACAGATCCCAGAGGTCAGGAGGATGAGGACTGCTACGGGGAACAGATCCCAGAGGTCAGGAGGATGAGGAATGCTACGGGGAACAGATCCCAGAGGTCAGGAGGATGAGGACTGCTATGGGAAACAGATCCCAGAGGTCAGGGAGATGAGGACTGTTATGGGGAACAGATCCCAGAGGTCAGGGAGATGAGGACTGTTATGGGGAACAGATCCCAGAGGTCAGGAGGATGAGGACTGCTATGGGGAACAGATCCCAGAGGTCAGGAGGATGGGGACTGCTATGGGGAACAGATCCCAGAGGTCAGAAGGATGAGGACTGATATGGGAAACAGATCCCAGAGGTCAGGGGGATGAGGACTG